TAAGACACAATGTGTATAATCTCATAACACATTATATATTCATATATATTACTTTAAATATTTATAATATATACTTAAATGTACATTTTTAAAAGTTGCTTCAGTTCTTTGTTTCATGAGTACAAATAAAAGCAATGCATATATTCAAAAGAGTTTCACAGAAAATCAGTTTTAAAAAAGCCTACAGTGCTGGGCTGTAACTCACTGGCAGAGTACTGCCTAGCATACCTAGGCCCTGGGTCAGTCCCCAGCATGGCCAACAACAGCAACAAAAGATCCTTAAAATAAAAATATAGTGAGCCTAAAGTTACAAAAGAACATTAAACATAAATCAGTAATTTATTTTTTAATCAATTAATTCAGATACCTCTTATTTTAGAATTCAAAATAATTGGTATTTGGTCAGTTATATAAATTTCTTGGTATCTGAAGATAAAATAATCACTCATTTGTACTTAAAATTTTTTAGGACATTTTTCTTCCCATAGTCCAAAATTCTCCTTAATGAGTAATAATTAATTCCTTTTAAAATTTAGAAGCAGTGCTTCTAAACATGGAATTCAGCTCATGGTGCCAATTAAGAACTAGGGAAAAGACTTTCCTAAATTTGAACATCAAAATCTGAGGTTTCAGATACATGACTACCCATGTATATCCATGACATCCCATATAAAGTGAACGGAAAAGTAATCAGAATACAGGTATACATGCACCAGGGCAAAAAGAATAAGCTACTAAGACATGGCAGATTGAAAACAGCCTGTCTTTGGAGGGGGTAAAGAGCTACGGGGACAGCTAGTGTAACCGTGTAGGGAAAAAGAAATTGAGCTGGCACAACTGAAAAAGCTCCAACACTCACACACTGGAGACATCCCCTGGATCAAACCCTCAAGTGGTCGTCAGGTTGGAAATGTAAAAATTAGTTTTAGTTTCCCTGGCATGGTTGGGAAGGCAGTTGTCTTCCCTACTTTCCTATAATAACAAGATTACCTCCTGGAACCTTAGCAGAATGAAAATTTGCTTCAAAGTCACTACTAAAAAAGAAAATCAGGAATAAACTCGTGTTCACAAAGTCTACATGAAATAGTAAAGTATGAGAAAATCTATACCAAATGGTGAGAACTGAACCAGGACTAGCCTCCCTCCCCCAAACAGCTTATAGAATGCCAGCACCTAAACACATATACCTTGTCAGCAGCAAGAATAAAAGAGTGACCTTTAGAAAAGCTCACATCCTCTGGAGACCCACAGAAAAGATGTCAATACCAATAGGATAATAAACATACATGGGGCCCCAAAGGAAACTGCAAGTCATCTTATAGGTATACCTGTTCTACATAGGTACCAACATTGTCAATCAGACCACAAAAGCAAAATAATTGATGAACTAATGAAATAAAATGCTGCAATGAGCTAAAACAGAGAACAATGAAGCAAACATCACTGCAAATCAATGGCTATTTTTAACATTTTATTAATGAAATCATACAGTATGATTTTTAAAATTGTTATTGATATACTGCTAAGATTTGGCTATTCCATTGTATTTACTCATAGCATTCCTTTTCATCACTCTGCAGTATTGTACTAGTCAAAAAAAAATTTAGTCATTCACCCATGATAGATGATTAAGTTTGGGTGTCTAATGCCATCTGGTGTTTTAGCTATAATGATAATATGGACACTCTTACATACAGTGTCTGGTACAGACATACTTCTGCTAGATATATACTAAGAGGTGAAAACATTTATACTACAGATAGATATACTACAGTATTAGAATCTTGAATGGCACACTATCAAAAGGCTAAAAGGCACCTCCAGAAAATGAAACAGTTCTTGTCAATTAAAGATTTTTTAATAACTGAAGTAAATGTTCAAGAATACAGAAAATAGAAAGGCGTGAATGTGAACGATAGAAAAGAAAATTAAAGAAATTCAGGAAGACCATTACCTGATTAATGTGAACTCTAGAGGAAAGAAAGAGAAGGAAAATATCAGAGGAATGATTATATCTTTTTCCTTGAATTTAAGGACATCATGACTATTCCAAGCATTCAGCATAACATATCAAAACAGATCCTTATTAAAGTACATTACTGTGAAATTTTAGAATGCTAGAAAGACTCTAAGGTTTTTAGGGAATAAACAAATATAAAGGAAACAGGCAATAACATGAAAAGAATTGGGCAACAAATAGCATTAGGCTTCCCCCAAACAACGGAGGAAATAAAACGGAAGAAATTTTTAAATAGTTCCCAACTTAAAGAGTCCTGATTCAATAAAGCTACTCTTCTAAGAATGAAAACACCTGCACAGACAGACATGGGCACTCCCAGATTAAATACTGCCCATTCTTTTCGAAGATGACTAGTGTTTTACCATCCTGGACAAGAAGCAAGTCCAGACACAGAAAATAGATCCAACAACGCAGGGAAGCAAAAAGAAACCCCCAAGATGACAAAGAAATTGTCAAGGTGACAGATAACAGGCCTGGGAAAGAGTTCAGATCCCACAAGACCACGGACTCTAAAAGATGCTGCCAGGAAAACCCCTGGATCCTCTTTTCTTCGTTCATGTCTTTCTTTTAAATAAGGGAACTGACAACACAGCTAAACCCACATTAACAAGCCTTAAGTGTCCTAAGGCATTTAACTTATTTTCTCAAGTATCAGTAACATTTGGTGTCTTGATGGCTGTTTCAAGAGCCTGTCTTTGCCTTCTGGTCAATCCCATACTTTTGTTTAGAGAGAACACAGCTCAGTGCCGCAGCCATTGTGCCTTAAATCCTCTAATAAATATTGAAAAAAAATTTAAAAATCTGCTAGGCCCTTCTTTCAGGTTGCATCCTGATTTTCACTTTACGCTGGGTTTTCCCACTTCCTGCTTTACTTTCTTTTCCCGTGTCCGTGCTTCATAGCTACCAGTGCCTTTGACAGTCACTTCATTCCACCAGGAACACTCAGAACAAAATCAACTTTTTGCTATTCTCTTCAAAATAATTTAGGTTTTAAGTGGGAAAAATATTCCTTCTCACAAATAGAGTGAGGCATAAACACTGGAAGAACTGCCCCAAAGCAAGGTTAGCTACCAGTATCCTCCCGAATCCTTGTGAGAAAAGGGTTCTCAGGGCCTCTCTCTTTACCTTCCCTCCACTCATTCACATTCCTTAGTGGGGTTCTTAGTATTGTGATTTACAAAGAAAAGTGGAAACTGAAAGGAAAGCAAGAATAACTTGTTTCATACTTCTCAGAACTGTTATCTTCACATCTTTGCAGATTATTCCTATTTATGGTACTACTGTGGGAAGATTATGATAGAGAAAACCTACATGACGCAACATGAAGTCAACAGCACTACTCAGAAAACTGAGAAGCAGCTTTGACTGTAACCATGGATAGATATTCATGATTCGGACAGAAGACAAAGAGATGGAGATACTAAAAGTCTGGCCTGGAGTTGCGGTACACACCTTTGATCCCACCACTCAGGAGGCAGAGACAACTGGCAAATTGCTGTGAGATCAAGGCCAGCCTGGTTCCAAAAGCAATTTCTAGGCCAGCTGAGGGAACAGGGAGACAGTGTCTCAAAAAAGAACCAGTGCTGGATGGCTCAGTGGCTAAGAGCACTAGCTATTCTTGCAGAGGACCTGAATTCAATTCCCAGCACTCACATGGTAGCTAACCACCTGTAATTCCAGTTCCAGGGAGTCCAACATCCTCTTCTGGCTTCTGTGGGCACTGCACACACATGGTGTACTTACTTACATGTAGGCAAAAACACTCATACACATAAAATTAAAATAAATAAAATATAAAAAAATCAACAAAAAATAAAAATAGAATTTGCTTTTATGAAATTTCCTTTAGTGTATTTCATTCCTTATTTCAAATGAAACAGTAAATCACTTTAGCAAGAGAAGCTATAAGAAATGGTATCTACAAATGGAAAATAACCCCACATTTGAAAACATGACATTTATGTCAATACATCTAAAATTACAATAAAACAACAACAAAAAATAAAGTCTGAGCTGCTCAAGTTCCAGTGTTTAGGAACAAACTAATAGGGGAAATGACATATTTTCCCAAAACAAATACAGGAAATGAAATATTTAGAAAGACTTTAGAAACGTGCAAGAAAAACACAGAAGCCAAGATCTACCTGAAGAGCTGAGGCAGGTAGAGCTATACTGACACTAACAGTAAAAGCATACCGTGCATTCACTGGCTTAGGAGGCTTGGAAGGAGCTACAACAACTGTTTCCATGTTGCCTGTTCCTGAAAGGTTGTCTTTTGTTGTCAATGCAATCATTTTTCGTTGTTTCTGAGAAAGTTTAACTCCATGAGAAACAATTTTTCTAAAAATTAAATTAGATTAATCAATTACTTTCACATATTTCAAACTGCTTCTGACAAACTAATTTCCTAAGAAATCATTACACTAGAAACAAAATTAAACCACTTAGCATTAATTTCTGCTTAACGAAAGTTATAGTTAATGATGTTTTCATCCATTAAATTTCAGCAGTTTTAGAGCCAGTTTATACTATCAATGATCAAGTAATGGCTCCACATGAGCAGCCTGCATAACATACTTTTCAAAAGAACTTGCATCAAAGGTTTGAATCTTTTGCTTTTCTTCAGAAATAAAGCAAGCAGCACAATGATCATTTTACTGAGAAGTTTCTAGCAGGTAACACAATATTCCCAAAAAACTAATATATCAACTCAACCCAATCATTAGTGCCGAGTTAGCAAATAATATTAAGAAGGTTAAGTTACCTAAAAGAGAGCTTACAACTACAACATCAAGTACACAAACACAGTAGGGATGAAGCAGTAGATTGTTCCTACTCTTTAGGACAGAAATATAACACAGCATGGTCTTTTCAAAGATTTTTTTTCAACCAACCCTAAGTTCAATTTTGGTGTTGTGCCACATTTTTTTCTACTTTCTTCTATTTCCATGATGGTTCTGAGATCCACAACAGGAGGGCTCACAGGACTGAAAGACAAAAACATTACAAAGAATTTATTTACCTATAAAGTCCAGTGCAGACAGAACCAAACCTGTTAACTATACATAAGACTGATAATGAATAATTTAGTCTAAATAATAACCAAATTCATTTTGTTAGCTGTAGCCAACCTCAAAAATGGTATTTTGAATGAAAATTACTTTTTTTTTTTGGTCTTTCTGAAGCAGGGTCTCCCTGTAGCCCCAGGTGTCCTGTAAGTATGTAAACCAGGCTGGCCTTGAACTCACAGAGATCCACCTGCCTCTGCCTCCCAAGTGCTGGGACTACAGGTGTGCACCACCACGCCCAGCTTTATGAGGTTACTTTTATAAAGGCATATAACACATAGACATCTATATATATATATATATATAAAAAACAATAAAATGCACTAAAACTCTTTAAATTGAATAATATGCCTACTCACAAAAAACTAAAAAGCCAAACAATAGTAGGAGTTCTCAGTATCTAAACTGGGCAAAGGAACTCCCTAAAGTTCTATTAAGTTCTTATCCTCTGGAATGAGTGATGCTTGAACATTATTTCATTTTCAATAAATAAAATCCTTACTACTATCTAGTATTAACAAAAACAGATACTTTCTAGAAAATCTGGGGGGGGGGTATTCGACAGTGTTTGAGAAACAGAGTGGGAGTTGCACCATAAAAACCTCCTATAATCTCTAGAAATAACTTTCACCCAAGTGAAATAGCTAAAAATAAGTCATACTACTACAAATTAAACAGTAATGTATCTTTCCTTTCTGTCAGATCCTAGTCACTATTCCCACCAGGCAATACTTCACAGGGAATGTGGCCATGTTGGTGCACATACTAACACTGGGAAGACCGTGACTGCTCAGCCTTGGGGAATGGCCATGCTGCTGAAACAGACAGCCACACTCACTGCTTTCTTGACACCACACATTCTTTAAACAGGCTTAGCAAAATACTGAACACCAGCAAGTAGAAGACAGTTCTAGGTGCTCATACAATTATGCGTGCTTCAATCTGTTTACTCCAAATGGCAAAAAATTCAGGACTAATTTCTGAAAAACCATGAAGACCATGAAGCAACATAACCTGAAACAACAAAATCTTTGCTCCACTCCAACTGTCAAAGCATATTTCAAAGGACTTTACAAATGGTCCAAATGATAATATAATCATGATGTCAATGAGCAGCTTCAACCTATTATCAATCTCAGCAGGCATATAAAGGCAGTCAATTATGCCTGGAGAGGAGGTGTCTATTTTTAAAAACTAGTCAACAATTTTTACGCAAGTCGATATTTTTTCATGTGTTAGAATAAATAAATATTCTTCATTAAAAATATCCATTTGCTAAAAGTGCATGGTAATCTCGCAGACAGGTAGAGAACAAAACGAAAGCCCTACCTGCAAGAGCTCGCAACCCAGATGGATGAGCCTGGAGTGTCAGCTCTGTTACTGGGGATGAGCTGGGGAGCAGATGTAGATGCTGGTGATTTTTCCCATGGTTTGAACCCTTCCCTAGAACACATGGGAGGCGTACCATTCACATACGATTTAGCTTTCCCCTATGAGAAGAAAGGAAAATCATAGGTAGTAATAGCAGGTACCTAATCTGATAGCTTATTAAAAATACTGACACTAAATCAGCTAGCATGTACAATTTATGAGTTGGTTTTTTTTATAGTGTAATCCTTTAACCATTTCTCAAACCTCATCACTGACTGCATGAGGCCTAGTCACTATGAGCTTGGAAAACAAACATCTTTTAGGAAAATAAGTACAAACATTAAATTTCTATTTATACAAATAGCAAAGAAAGTAACAAAAGTCACACATACAAGATGTGAAGCAGTAATTTTTAATGTTCATGACTATGAAATAAAAATTCAATATAAACGTTTTACATTTCACTCTATGATTATAGTATTTTAAATGATAGTAAATAATAATGACACTTTAAAGGGGACACTAAACCTGCTATTCTAACAGGTAAAGAAAGCTTTAAAATGGTATATCCAGGGTCAGAGTCTTCTGCTCTTGCCAAGACATTTGCAATACAGTTCCAACTGCCTTAAACCTCAATTGTTTTTCACATTAATCTTGTGTGAGTAACAATTTTCCTAGAACTTGAATATTAAAATCCTTAAGTTCAAGAACACTTGGTAAGAAGAGTAAAGTTCAATCTCTAATTCCTAGAAGCTGTAAGATGTTTTACAAATGTGGCAAAGGTTAGAGGAAAATGAGTTTATCTCTAATAAGCTAACCATCTTCCTCTCTGTGGAACAAAACATTGAAAGGTGTTGAAAAGAAGGCCCTCCTCAGCACTAACCAGACTAGAAATGCTGCTGTCTAATGACCTCCCTAGGCAAGGCAGCTGAAGAGAATTCAATTTTCTAGCTGGTTGCGGACCAGTTAACATAATGAAAGAGAGACTACAAAATTTGAAACCAAGCTTATTTTCTTTTTTATAAACTATTTTATTATTTTTTTTATTTTACATGAACGAGTATTATGCCTGCATCTAGGTAAGTGCACCCATGTTGTGCAATGCCTGCGGAGGACAGAAGAGACTGTTGGATCCCCTGGAACTGGAGTTACGGACAGTTGTTAGCTGTCACGTGGGTGCTGGGATTCAAACCTGGGTCTTCTGCAAGAATAGTCAGTGTTCTTAATTGCTGAGCCATCTCTCCAGCCCAACCATGCTTATTTTCAAAATCATTTCCTTTGACAAATTTTATCTGACTGCAATGGGCATTTCCTAAAATATATGCCTGGAATTTAGCAACAAATGTATTTTCCAACAGGTCTATTCAATGACACTATACTATATGTCAATATTATATTTACAGTCAACATTTTATGTACTTATAAAAAGATTAGAAGTAACATTCATAAAAACCTCAAAATGGCCATTAAAATCTCTAAAACTAGAAAGATTATACAACTTGGAAAAAAACCTTAACACTATACATATTAGTTTTATTTTCTTATAAACCAACTAGGAAAACATTTCAAAGTTTGAGCAAATATAATGAAAAATTAAAGGTAAAATGTCTACACATCATGGTGATTTGAATGAGAAGTGTCCCCCATAGGCTCATGTATTTGAACACATGGTCCCCAGTTTGGTAGTGCTGTTTGGGGAGGTTATGGAACCTTTAAGAGGTGCAGCTTTGCTGGAGGAAGCACATCACTGGGGGCGGGCTTTGAGAGTTTATAGCCTTCCACTTCCAGTTCACCCTCTCTGCTTCCTTTGTGCAGTTGAGATGTGATCTCTCAGCTTCCTGTTCCAGCAGCCTCCTGCCATACCTTCCCCACCATCATGGACTCTCCCTCTGGAACCATAAGCAAAAATAAGCTTTTTCATCTTTAAGGTGCCTTTGGTCATGGCATTTTATTACAGCAACAGAAAAGGAAATATAATATCTAAATATGAGGGTAAGGAAACAGTGCTTTATAAAACAAACCTCAATCTTATCTGAATTAAATCCTGCTGTGAAATCAGGGGACTGCAGGTCTCTGGGACTACCCACTCCTGTGTAGCTTCCTTCAGAATCTGAGGTCAACAGTTCTGGAAGAGATTCCACAGAACTGGTCTTCCCAGACTTCAATAATCCTAAAATGTAAGACAAAATAAACTTTAAACACAGAAGCATTAAACATATATGCACTATACTCAGCCAAATGGAAAGCAAAAAGCTTCTATTTATGCAGATTTTAATAATACTTAAATTATATTCACCGTGCCAAAGTTACACTATCTAAGCTAAGGTGACATTAATTGAGAGACTAAAATGGAGACTGTAAAACAATGGTTTTATTCATTAAGTACCTGCTAACTATGCAATGAACCTGAACAGCAGAGTTCTATAGAATCTGATTTGAAGAAATGGTTAGCTTTCTTCCCTATGAAAGATCAAAAGGCAGAAGAAACTGATAAACTCCATTATGAACCCCAGCCCTGCCTCGCCTTTTTCGGTTATTTTCCTGTGCATTCACTGAGTTCTGCAGAAACGGCAAAGCTCCACTGTGTGAGAGGAAGCGCTGTGGGGCCTTCGTGCCAGCAAACTGGCAGGATGCCATGGGCGGCCTATTTGAGAGTTCACATTTTGTTTTTTCTTTCAAAAACCTGTCATTTGAGAACTACTTTTAATTAGCTTACGGCTTGAAGTAAAATATTTGTGCCCATGTCTTCTGTTGCTTCAACAGCCTAGCCACCTGCCCCTGGTACTCCTGGTGTCCAGGTTCATTAGCACTCCAGAGTCATTTCAAACAGGAACACAGTATAAAGTAAACTTTTACTTAATTCAGGAGATAATTTTCACCCATTTCAAATTTGTTAGAATATACATTAAGTATATTTTTAAAAGAAACTTTAAAATGTGTACATTATCTGAGCTATAAAAGTTACACAACTGACTTAAACATAAGCAAAAGGTACCATCTCTTATACATTCTAGTAGGTGGTCCCCTTAAGCAATCTCAAGTGATACACTTCCCCCACTGTCATTTTTTGGAGAAAATTTTCATTTCAGACATTACATTTAAGTGAATGTTTTCAAAAGCCATTGAAATCAGGAGAATCAAGTAGATATTAGAAGCAGCCAGCAATTATTTTTGATCAAAACATTTTAACAAGATCACATCTCTAACTTTAAAGATCAACAATGTTAAGCCTTTAAACAACCGTTTTTGGTGAAATTTGCCATACACTCTATTTCTTCTTCTATAATTACGTTGAACCCTTTAATCATTATCTGCTGGGATCACAGAAATCATGGAATAAGAGAAAGTATATGGAACTGGAATCAGGTGAGCAACACAACTTTTTATTACTGTCTCCTAAGTTTTCCAAATTTGTTTCCTGAGGTTTAAAGTTAAGGAACATAAAATAACAAAATATTTCTTTACGAATGTCTCTTGCAGCTCTGAAATTTCAAGGTTCTTTTATGTGTGTCTGTGTGTGTGCACTCAAGTGTGTGAGCCCAGGCAAACACATGCTTCAGTACATGTGTGAAGACTATAGGATAACCTCAGTGTGTGTGTGTAAAGGGGAAAGGGGGAAAGGCAGGGGGGCATCAGTTCTTGCCTTCCTGCTGTTACTCTGCAGCATACACCAGGCCTGGAAGACTCCAGGAAGTCTCCAATCTCTGTCTTCCATCTCCCGGGAGGAGCACTGGGATTACAGATGCTCCCACGGGGCAGCAAGCTTTTTCATGGATTCTACGTTTAACACTCAGGTCCTTGAGCTTGCATAGCAGATGCTTTCACCCAGTGAGCATCTCCCCAGCCCATGAAATGCTAAGATTCAAACACATACACCTCTGTTAATCATACTATTTAAAGCAAACCAAACATCCAGCTTTTCGTAAGCCACTTGGGTAAAAATCCCCAGTGGCAGGACAGTCATCCATTGAGCTATCCTTTCGACCAACTTATGCTTTTCTCACAGGCAATACAAAATTCCAGAATTTTATACTTAGAAAGATGAAGACATGTCTTTCTCATTTTTGTGCCTCTGAATCCTCCTGATTCAATGCTTCATAATCAATTTTGTATTAGTTAAAACAATTATTCCCTTGAGTTGTATCAAATGCAACAAATATCCAGTGCCTCATTTGTAATAATTAAAGAAACAAAAATTACTCTGCCTAACAGCTATCTTTTCATAAGAGACACAAAGTATGTAGGGCAGATTGGCTATCAAATGGTGCTGACAGATATCACAGCAGGTTAAATTTTATTGCTATACACACACCTACCATTCCAAAAACCATACTGCACTCTCATTATTTTTTGGACATACTTCATATTTTATCTAAAGAAACTGTTAAAGATTTGGATAGTTTAATAAAGACTAGATATGTAGGACAATCTATGTAACAACCAGCCTCATTCTTTGAAAACAACAATGGAAAACAAAAAGGCACGGAGGACATGGGCTAGTTAAGAGACAGTAATAAGCAAATGTAGTGTTAATCTTGATAGAACACTACACTTTTTAAAAGGGAAGTATAACCAAAGATTAAAGGGGCCAACATAATATCATAAGAGCATACATATACATAACTAAAAGTTACTCGACAAACAACAAAGCCGACAGGCGATACCTTCAGTCGAGTTGTTGGCTAGGATAGATAAAGGCTCTTCCAGACAGTAACCCAACATACTAC